TGGGAACAGAACAGCTGGACCCTGGGTGTGGTCAGCAGGGAGGCACAGCAGGGAGGCCTGTGGAGCACTCCCTCACACTGCTGGCTCTCCACCCACAGCCATCCTGAGCCCCCCCCCCCCCTCTCCCTCCCCCTCTCTCTCTCTCTCTCTCTCTCTCTCCTCTCCTCTCCTCTCTCCTAGCCCTCCACATCTCCCGGGGAGCTGCCATCAATCACTAGGCTGCACCTATTCACTCATGCACTATGCACCCATTATAGGGTTTAACCTCCAGCCCCAGGCTCTCCTGAGGTCCACTGTCTCCCAGTCTCAACAAATGCAGTACCCACATCCAAGATGGAGCTATACCCCATACACACCCACAGACTCTTCCTTCCTTGGTTCCTAGGCCAGGCCAAGGTCTCTGCATCATCTAGTATCCATGGCAGGAACTGAGGGTCCACTTCTCACCTCCCTCTGGCCCAAACTGTGCTCCATTGTCCCCAAAACATACCCGCCTCACATCTGCTTTCTACCTATCGAGTCCAGCTCAGGCCTCACACTCCCATGGACCACACTGGGTCCTCAGACGCCCCTCACATCCACTCTTGCCCCACGCCCTCACCCAGGTGACAGTCATCCCACAGCCAGTTTCTCTGATAGCCCCAGCCGCATCAGCTCACCTATTTCCTAACACTCTGTATGGCTCCCAGGTCCCTTCTAGTAAAGTCAGGGCCCTCAAGCAGCGGTGTGTTCTTCCTGGTCTGTCATGGACTGCACCCTGGTTCCCTCTCCTCTGGGCCTCTCCTTTTGGTTCCTATGTCATAGATTCTAGCCTCTGCCTTTATCTCTCCACCTGAAGGTGGGGCAGACACCCTAAACCTCCTACACCCAATCAGCGAAGCTCACAGCTTAATCAAATGGTCCTGGGAGGCAGACTTGAACGTCAGAAACGTCTGGTGGGTGACTAAAGCCTCATGAACAGTGCCACCTAACAGGTCCTTCCAAGACTGTTTCCAGTCATCCAAGCCCTCACTGCACACAGGTTCAGCATCGGCCTCCCCAGCCCTGGCTTGTGGTTTGTGTCAGGCACATGCTGAGTGCTCTGGGTGTTGGTCCACCCAGGGTCACTGAGCTCAGTTGAGTGGGTTCCCCATATTACTGATGTCAATACTGTCCTGTGGAGTTAACACATTGGCTACAGTCACTCTTAGTGTATGGGACCAGGTTTTGAATCTGGATAGGCCCTTCTGGAGCCTAAGCCTGTGACCACTGCATATGGAAAGAGGGGAGGTGACTTCTGGTTTGAGAGGCTATCACTCCACAAAGCCCTTTGTCTGTATAAACATGACTGCAGCCATTTGCTTTCTTTTACCATTGCCATTTGAACATGTAAATTAATTTATGGGCTGTAACCACGGCTGCCCTCAATGATGGCTAAGAAAGAAACCCCAAGTTGTTCTTGTAGAGGGAGGAGGAGAAGGCCCCTAAATAAAAGGTCACAGCCACTGGTAACTGTCCCAGGACCTCAGGAGAGGTGGAATGTGGGAGCTTAGAGAGTAATAAAGCCCATGACAGGGGCCACAGGCTAAACACAGGACTCCCAGTGGTGAATAGTAATGGGGGAGGTCCTTCTGTGTATATTGTTTGTCTCATTGGTTGATAAATAAAGCACTGTTGGCCAATAGGAAAGCAAGATAGGCAGGACTAGGAGAGAAGGAGGATTCTGGGAAATGTAGTAAAGAGGACAGTCACCATGTGATCCTGTGAAAAGAGTACGCATGCCGCTGGTGTCCTCGATAAGATAAGTGTTTATAAAATATATAGATTAATGGCTATGGTTGATACTTAGGACAGAGCTAGCAAATGAGAAATCCTAGTCATTAGCCAGCAGCACTGTAACTAACATAAGACGACTCAGTGTGTTATTTGGGGGCCCTGATGTGGCAGTGGAACTCAGGTGGCTGGTGGAAAGCCTTATCCTTACAAATGGTGCCCACATGGTTTGACAAACTTCCACAAAAAAACTTAAGAAATCTTAAAAATGGATTTTAGAAGCAAAAGAACAGAGACAAGCACAACTTCTTGATAGCAGCATTTTCTCAGGTGGTCTCTGTTTTGCCAGAGACAAGCAGAGACTTGAACGGCTCCCTTAAGGGAGGTTTCTTGACTCAGAATAAGCAGAAAAAAACCACAGGGCTCTTTTAAGAGACCCTGCTAACAACTGAATGGTGTGCATGAGCAGCTGGCAGTGGCAGTGACCACATCTCCAAGCAAGCAGCATGCTCCTTGGTGGCAGCATAAACCAAGGCAGTGAGCACAGCTCTCAATGCTGGTGGTAAACATACCTCTGCCATTTTGGAAAGACAGCAGCTAAAAACTAAAAGGCTTTAGTTTTAGCAATGTTGTTTAGGAGATAAAAGGCTCATGGCCAGAAAAAGATAAAGATATACAGTAAAGAAGATTCAGAGGGGAAAAGTAAAGCCTCTAAAGGCTTGCAATGAGTTTAAAAATGTACATAGGCTTGTGAGAGAAAAGAAACAGGATAAAGTAATTGAAAGAAAGAAAGAGAAAGAGAGGGAGAGAAAGAAAGAGAGAAAAAGAGAGAAAGAGTAGCAGGGCAGTCGTGCCGCACACCTTTAATCCTAGCACTCTAGGCAAGCAGATCTCTGTGATATCAAGGCCAGCCTGGTATACAGAATGAGTTCAAGGGCAGTCAAAGTTACACAGAGAAACTCCGTCTTATAAAAGGAAAAAATAAAAGCATAAGAAATAGTTATAAAAATAAATAAATAGCTTTCTGTGCCGATATCGCTCCCACCAACATGGTGAACATTCCTAAGACCCGCCGGACGATCTGCAAGAAATGTGGCAAGCACCAGCCCCATAAAAGTCACACAGCACAAGAAGGGCAAGGACTCTGGGTATGCCCAGGGAAAGCGGCGTTATGACAGGAAACAGAGTGGCTATGGTGGGCAGACTAAGCCTATTTTCCAAAAAAAGGCTAAAACTACAAAGAAGATTGTGCTGAGGCTTGAGTGTGTTGAGCCCAACTGCAGATCTAAGAGGATGCTGGCTATTAAGAGATGCAAGCATTTTGAACTGGGAGGCGATGAGAAGAGAAAGGGCCAAGTGATCCAGTTCTAAGCTGCTCTTGTTATGGAGACAATAAAATCACAATAAAAGAAACTCACCTCAAAAATAAATAAATAAATAAATAAATAAATAAATAAGCCATGTAAAGATGGAAAATACAGAGAGAGTCTGGATACTGTATGCTATATTGTTGTCTTTAAATTGTTTGATTGCCAAAGAAAGAACTACAGCTGCTAAAAGACATTTGATTATAAGTGCTGCTGAATTAACCCAACTTATCTGTTTTAAAAATGCTTTGACGTCTAAATTTAAATATAAGGACAGGTTACTTGGGAAAAGAATTTTCGCTGTGTTTCCACAGAAAATGGAAAGCTATGGATTCCTTCCAAACTAATATGGTTTGATCAAGACCCCCTGAAACAGTGTCCCAGGTGATCCAACATCTAAAACAGCTGAGATGATACAGCCTAGTAGACTACAAAAACAAGGGCCTGGCCAGGTTTCTGTGTTTTATCATGGTCCTCATGGGATGGACATCGCTCCCAACTAGCAGGAAGCAGTTTGGAATGAATGACGCCCAAATTCCCAAATATTGTTTATAAATGTTTGTTTTCATTTAAATTGGGTTATTTATAAATGTAATGATCACAGTCAATCTCTTTTTAAAGGGAAAAGGGGGAATAGGATACAGAAATGAATACTTTGCATTGGTATGGATTTTCATTTATTGATACAACTTTAAGGTCAATTTTGTGATATGTAAATTTCTCCTCTTGTTTGGTGTTGTGTTTATACAGATCTCTTAAAATGTAATGCATAATTAAATACAGATTGTATATAGTCATGTATAATAGTCAAAACTTACAGTTAGATTAGTTAGGTTTTCTAGATATACAGAGATGTATTTGGGATGGATAGATATTCTTCAAAACTTTCAAAGACCTATAGAATATATGGCATTTTTAAATGGTTTAGGGCTTTTCATGGCAATGAGACACCCTGCTCCTGGCACACCAATCATGTCTGAAAGGAGGACGGGCATCAAAGAAACTCATTATGGAGTTTGCTTTCAAGATGGCAAGATTAGCCATTTAGGCAAGAAACTGCTCTTGCTTGGACTGTTTGTTGCTGTATAAACTGGGCATGCAGGGCCCACAGAAAAGTGATTGCTGAACTTACAAAACAAGATGGACAGTCCTAAAGGGTTCCTGCTTCATAAAGAGTCTGCCAAACATTCTACAAGACACACAGAAAAATGACTGACAAACTGCCAACTCAAGTGGACAATTTAAAATTTCCTGCTTCACGGAGAAGTCTTCCAGACACACTGTGGCCTATGGTCTGAAGATGGATGCCCCAACATTACAGAGGAACTTCAGGTGACTTTCCTAGCAGTTAAATGTCTCTGTCAGTTCTAGAGTTTATATATTATCCTTCTGTGGTCTTTGATGGAGTTGAAGACAGATAGTTATTGTTATAGAGTTTTTTAGTTATTATAAAAGATAAGCTACATATAAGACGTTAGATTCACATAGATAGGGTAGACGATAGAATATTTTCTTTAAATCTTGCTAAATGTTAATGGACTAAATATTGTAACTATAATTCTTACTTGATAACTGTTTTGTTATATATTTTACTATGTTAATGTTAAGACCCTTCTTTTTATTTAGACAGGAAAGAGGAGATGATGGGGGAAGTCCTTCTGTGTAGATATTTGTCTTATTGGTTGATAAATAAAGCACTGTTGGCCAATAGGGAAGGACCCTTCTTTTTATTTAGACAGGAAAGAGGAGATGATGGGGGAAGTCCTTCTGTGTAGATATTTGTCTTATTGGTTGATAAATAAAGCACTGTTGGCCAATAGGGAAGCAAGATAGGTGGGGCTAGGAGTTGAGGAGGATTCTGGGAAATGTAGTAAAGAGGTGAGTTGAGTCGCCATATGATCCCAGGAAGATAGGACGCTAAGGCCGGCAACCACGGTAAGATAAGTCTTTATAAAATATATAGATTAATGGTTTGGTTGATACTTAAGACAGAGCTAGCAAATAAGAAATCCCAGTCTTTGGCCAGCAGCATTCTAACTTATATAATATTCTGTGTGCTATTTGGGGGCCCTAACGTGGTGGTGGAACTCAGGCAGCTGGCAGAAAGAGTTATCATTACAGAAAAGGAGGAGGGAAGAGGAGGACTCCCAGTGGTAAAGAGGAGGACTCCCAGTGATGGAGAGGAGGACTTCTGTGACACAGCAGGGTGTGATTGGCCTGAAGCTCAACTTTGTCTCCAGGAACCATGCCCACCCACATCATGAACAAAAACTCTAGCCTAGAAACCAGGAGACTCTTTCTGGTCCTGGATCTGCCACCAGCAACTATGAATGTAGACAGGTCTTCTGGCCTGTTGGGACCACTGATTCTTCTTGCAAGGAAGTGGGTTGAGCTGGAAGCCCACGAGTCACCTTTTGGCCCTGATACTCTACCCTCCTATGAGTCACTCTGGTTCCGGTGTTTTGTCACTGGGACACTAAAGAAAGAACAATCGGCAGCCAGGGCACAGAGTTCACAGGGCATCCTGCTTTTGGAAGCAGGCCTGATGACTTTCAGCAGAGGGGCAATGTGAGGCAGGGATTTTCCCTATTTGAGATGAACACATCTGCCAACATGTGGCACCTGCATTCAAATGGTGTTCTGCAAGGCTGGGCTCTGCCCCTAAACACAAAAACAAATCAAATCCAGGCTCGGCATTGCCAGAACAATTCTCCAGATTCCTGGTCAAGTTGGGTCCTGCACACAGAGGACCAGGCCCACAGGGAACTTGACTTTGAGTCACCACCAGTCCTTCCAAGGTCTGTGATTCATGATCTTGTTATTTGGAGAAAGAGTCACCAAACTTCCAGAACACTCCCTCTTCTTGTCATAAACCCCACCCCACACTTGGCAATTGGGAATCTTTTGTTTTGTCTAATAATACAACCAACTCCCATCCCATGGACAGCCCAGATAGGAGTGTGGTTAACAGAGTACTCAATACCGTGGGCCAGATCAGTGTGGCTCGTTACAACAGGGCCCATCATCCAGGCTAAGCACTTAGAGAAATAGCCACCAGGGGACTGAGGAGACAGTTCAGCTGGCAAAGTGCTCCACTTGCTAACACAAAGACCTAAGTTCAATCCCCAGAACCCATATTTATAAAAGTCAGGCATGGTGGTGCACACTTGCAATCCCAGCACTAGGAGGCACAGACAGGTGGATCTCTGTGGCTCACTGGCCTATTAGCCTAGCCTACTTGGTGAGTTCTAAGCCAGTGGGAGATGCTACCTCAAAATAAAGGATAGTGCCTGAGGAACAACACCTCAGATTGTGCTCTGGCCTCCACATACATGCTCACTTACCTACACCCACATGAAGAGAGAGAGCAGGGCTGGGAGAGGTAAAGTAACTGAATTGGCAGAAAAGGAAAACAAACATCTAATAAAAAGTTAACTGTGTTAGAATATATTTAGTGACCACAGTGGTGCAGTGTGTCTGGTAAAGGTGCCTCTGTGAGCGGACTGTGGGCTGGTGAGTCGTGCGTCAGAGATGTTTGAGATTGTGATAGAGCCTGTCTCAGGCCTTTGAAAACATCCACACAGCCCTACCATCAGCTCCAGTAAACACAACACACAGTCAGTTCACTGCAGAGGCTGAGGGAGAAGGATTGAAAGTTCAAGGTCTACCTGGACAACTTAGTCAGAATCCTTCTCAGAATAAAGGAAGGGCAGAGGACTGGGCATATAGCTCAGTGGTAGAGCACAAGCGAGGCTCTAGATTCACATCCCATACAAAGAGACACCCAATAAAAAATTAAAGATAGCCTTACACTCCTTTGACAAGTCTAAGCAGCAAAGCCTCATCTGCAGTGACAAAAATGCCAGACCAAAAAAAATCACAGAATCATGGAGCATCATCCAGGGAGTAAGAAAATCCTACTTTCAAAGAATTTTTAAGATATGGGAAATGAGCCTAGCCTTTAAAATGGCTGAGCCATCTCTTTGGCTGGGCAGTGGTGGCACATGCCTTTAATCCCCACACAAGGGATGCAGAGGCAAGCTGATCTATATGAGTTTGAGCCAGCCTTGTCTACAGAGTGAGTTCCAGGACAGGCTCCAGAGAAATCCTGCCTCCAAAAAAAAAGAAGAATATGGAAAATTCACATGATATCAACAGTGGAGAGGGAGAATATGAAATTCTAATAAGCTATAAGCACAACCTTCAAAAACTATACACAGTGAAGCCTGAAGGAGTTCATTAGTGGATTAGATTTTTTCCATAGTGATGATTAGCTCTTTTAGCTCATTTTAGGTATTATTGTATTTTCAAGATATTCTCTAATAAGCATGTATTATTTTATAATTATTGACATTGGTTAGTTTTGTTTGGTTGGTTATTGTTTGTTTGGTTGATTGATTTGTCCATATTGTTTGTTCATTTGCTCATCAAGACAAGGTCTGACTATGTAGCTCAGGTTGGCACAGAATACTTACCCTTCTGCCTCAGCCTCCCGAGGGTTTGGATTACAGGTGACTGGCATCATATTTAACTCTATAAAGTTCTTTGAAAGCTATGACACTGGGCTGAGGTGGTAGCTCGGTTGGTAGACTGCTTTTTTCACATGCATAACATCCTGGATTTGACCCCCTGTTCCACATTAATCAGGTGTGGTGGTGCACACTTTTCATCCCAACATTCAGGAGGTAGAGGCAAGAGAATCAGAAGTTCAAGGTCATTCTCAGTCACGTAGGGAGTTTGAGGCCAGCCTGGCATTCATGAAACCTTATCTCTAAAAATAAAGCTATAATACTATGCACTAATTGTTAATTTTCTAAAACACTGTGATGGGAAAAAGTTCTGTTTGGCCAATGAAACAGCAAGTTAGACAGGACTAGAAGTCAAAGAGGATTCTGGGAAATGTAGTAGAGAAACAGTGTTCCAGGCAGGAAGTGACATAGCAAGGAGACTCATATTTAAGAAAGGAGAAAAAGGAAGTGTCCCCTTTTCCCCTTCCTCCTCCAGCGGTGCCATGTGAGCCACTGGCAAGAGAGGGTGCCAGCAAAAGGCATCCTCTATAAGATAAGTCTTATAAAATATATATATTTATGATAATTACAGATGAGTAATCCTAGTCATTGGCCAAGCAGCTTTGAACCTAATACAAGTCTCTCTGTGTATTAATTCGGGCCCTAACTCAGGTGGGCTGCTGGCATAGAGCACACACATGGCGGTGGGGCTCAGCGGCTTTTGGCAGAAAGATTTATTGTAACAACACTGATATCAAGTAGTATCCATATAGTTATAAGTCTATACCTTCCATGGGAGTCCAACTTTAGCATACTCCCAAAGAAGCAGGCAGTGCTGGATACAGAAGACCTGGGCCAATCAGCAGTCTGCTCTACCTATCTGCTATCTGCTGCCCCTTTACCTGTGTGTTCCCTAGCACAGCACACAGACATATCTATCTGACTCCTGCTTCCAGACAGAAACACAGAGAAATCTCACCTCCTATGGGTGCTCCAGTCCCAACCCAATTCCTGGAGAGGAATAAGCACTCCACATTGTATATATAAGTTGATAGGCAGGTTGGCTGAAAGGATGGACAGATCGATGGATGGATGGATGGATGGATGGATGGATGGATGGATGGATGGCAAATATCAGGCCATAAATAGTTTCTTGTTGAATAAACATGAGCAGCAACAGAAGGGAAGCCAGGGGTGCAGATGGGAATGTGCAACCCACTGAAATACCCCTGAGTGGAGAGCTTCAAATGGACACACACGGTGGAGACTGGCTTCCAAGAGACCCATGCGGCAGTGATGCCCTTTTCCAACACATCCCCCCTTATCCTGCCCTCTGGCTCTAGTCAGCACTGTTCATACTTCATTCTAAGAAGGACATCAGAACACTCCATTATGGTCAGACCTGCCTTCCTGAGGCCATACAGGCCTGGAAGACAGCTCCCTCATGTCTGCTCTGCAGCATCTCCAGCCCCTCAGGTGGCTCACTAAGCTGGTATGCAGGAGGCTTGTGAGGAAGAAGCCCACACAGAGACAACTGCCACCATTTGACCTTCTGCCAAATCAAGGAGCCACTGTGGATCACTTGTGGGATAGAAGGCATTGTCTCAGAGACTGCTGGGCAGGTCCCCACCATCATGGATGAGACTGTATTGCCCCAAGGAGGCTTCACAGAGGACTTGACCCTTCCCTGGAGTACAGTTCTGGCAAGGTGGACCCCACAGTGTGCAAGGTTATTATTAAGAAGGAAACAACCATGAAGTTGAAGCTCCTCTCCCACATAAACTTAGAAAGCAAGGGCAGGGGGCACTTGCATCCTTCCTTGCTAGGCCAGAGAAGACACTGTCCCTCCAGCAGTTGGACCTTCTTTCCCCAGAACAGCAAGCCTCACTAAGCAGATGGGAATGGAGAGAAGAGACAGGAAAGTTCCCCTTACTGCTACCCAATAAGTCTATATTTTTCCAAACAGATCAAGGAGCACTCCTTGGGAACTGAAGCTTTGGGTTCTTCCTGAGCTTATGTCTGGAGTTGGAGTGTGTGGCATGTCTGTCATTGTCATCCCACAGCAAGAAGGGCTGCACCTGCTGTCCACATTCAATCTGCCTTGTCCCTCATTTGGGACAAGTGCTTCCTGCAGACCACACCTCTCCCCACCTCACAGCCCCATATCCCTTTGAGTTCATATCCAGAGGACAAGACATCAAACATCAAGAAATGTAGAGCTGGAGTCAGAACTGTGCCTGGTACCCATGTGGTGGAAACAGCAAACCCGAGGTGACCCAATGCAAATGCACAGGCCACATCAGCCAAGGCTGCAGCTCCCCCTGTGAACTCCCTTCTACCACCTTTCCAAGAATACTGCTGCTGCATTCCTTCAAGGCACTTTGAGAAGCCAAGCCCTGTGGGAGGCTGTGTGTGAACACTGCTGCT